GCTGCCTCCTGCTCACGCTGTCTCTCCTGTCCCAGCGGGAGGTGGAGATCCTCATGTTCCTCAGCGCCATCGTCATGATGAAGAACCGACGCTCCAGTGAGTTGGGGCCTGTGCTGGGGGTGGAGGGGGGCAGCGGGCTGCTTATGGTTCCTCCCCAAGGAGCTGGACAGGTGGGATTCTGGAGGACCACGTGTGTCCCCCTCAAGATCCCCCCTGGTCTTCTGAGGGGATCTGACCCCATCTTCTATCCCTCTCTCCCTTCTCCAGTCACCGTGGAGCAGCACATTGGGAACATCTTCATGTTCAGCAAAGTGGCGAACGCCATCCTCTTCTTCCGCCTCGACATCCGCATGGGCCTGCTCTACCTCACGCTCTGCATAGGTGAGACCTGCCAGGGGGGACCCGTAGCACCAGGGGTGGCAGTGGCGGCAGCAGTGCTCCCTGGGCATGGCTCGGCCAGCCCTCCACACCCGCTGCCCCTGCCTGTCCTCCTCCTCACCCGGCTGGAAGGGCCAGAGCTCCCTCCTGCTGCGGGGCTGACCTGCGCCCTTCGTTGCTGGAGGAGGCTGCGGGTGTAAGGAGTCTTGGGGGTGAGGGGCGGCTCAGGAAGCGCCTTGAGGGGCAAGTCTGCCTGCCCCAGGGCTCGCTCTGCCTTGGTTGCCCCGGGCTGCTCTGGGGCAGGAGGAGCCTGGTCCCAAACAGCCTGGGCCTTTGGGGCGCTGGGGGGCGGGGGGGGCTCAGGGGTGCTGTCGTTGCAGTGTTCCTGATGACCTGCAAGCCCCCCCTCTACATGGGCCCCGAGTACATCAAGTATTTCAGTGACAAGACCATTGATGTGAGTATCCCCTCCCCGGGGGGTGCCGAGGGGCTCTGCCTGCTGTCCCCTGCTGAGCCCCGCCCCCCTGCGGCAGGAGGAGCTGGACCGGGACAAGCGGGTGACGTGGATCGTTGAGTTCTTTGCCAACTGGTCCAGCGAGTGCCAGTCCTTCGCCCCCATCTTCGCTGACCTCTCTCTCAAGTGAGCAGTGCCCACTGGGATCCTCAGTGAGCCCCAGGGCCAGGCTTTGCTCCCGGCCCTGTGGTCACCCACGGCACTCACAGCCTTGTGTCCTCATCTTCCCCAGGTACAACTGCCCAGGACTGCACTTCGGGAAGGTGGATGTTGGACGGTACACGGATGTCAGCACCAGGTCTGAGGGGAGATGGCCTGGGCAGCATGGCCTGTGCCGAGGCAGAGCCCCTGGGAGCCCCCTGCCCCCCTCCAGCTGCAGGTGGTCACCTTTGGCCTTTCCCCCTCCTGCCGCAGGTACAAGGTCAGCACCTCGCCCCTCACCAAGCAGCTGCCCACCCTCATCCTCTTCCAGGGTGGGACAGAGACCATGCGCCGGCCGCAGATTGACAAGAAGGGCCGGGCTGTGTCCTGGACCTTCTCTGAGGTGGGTGGGACCCCTCCCCGGGGCCGGAGGGGGCTCAGCAGCCAGCCTGTGCCCTGGGAAGGGGGGTGGCAGGTGCCAGGGGTGCCAACGCTGCCTGTCTGCTGCAGGAGAACGTGATCCGGGAGTTCAACCTCAACGAGCTCTACCAGAAGGCCAAGAAGCAGTCGAAGCCGCGGGAGGAGGGGCCTGAGGAGCTCCCCGGGGTGCAGGCGGCTGCTGGACACCCCCACGGGGAGACCAAGAAGGAGAAGTAGGAGCTGCCCTCGACTGTCACCCATCGCCATGTCACCCTCACCCTGGCAGCACCGGCCCCGGGGCCTTGCCTGGATCCCGGCCGAGCC